TGTCCATGCACCACAGGTGCCCTCATCATGGCGGCCTGTCATTGAAGACCCTGCGACTGTTCAAGTCTTCTACGAGTACTATGGGGCATCGTCCCCTCCCCTTTCGAACACAGCTCTTGAGTGCCTGGTGAGGCAGACAGTGTGTGCCATGCAGCTGCCTCACTGGTGCAGCCACCTTCATAGATTCCCCTTCAGCTTGGGCATACATCAGGATTCTGTGGACGCTGCATTTTAGGAGCCTGTGCACCGCTCATTTTCAATTTCCTCTGTAATACATTGTGAAACTGCTGAGCGTTGAAATCTTGTCTCCAGTCAGGGTCAACGTCCTATATTTCTCTGCACAGAAGTTGCATACCATACAGTGGGCAACTGTAAGGTCTTAGCCTATCGCTGAAAGCCCAAGTGCTTGAGTTTTGGAAAGTCTTGACTCCTGAATATCACAACGGCCATCCCTGAGCAGGGTGTTTGAGGCACACTGCCAACTTGAGATGGTTGCTTGTGAGCGATCCTGTCTGTGCAGAGGGCACATGCTTGTGATTAAAATGATGGGAATCCATTTGTTGCACAAGATATGGGCCCTATTTGGCCACTTGGTTTTTTGGACTGACAGGTTCGGCTTGCATCTGTGAGGAGATCCTTGTTCCAAATGGAGGTTGAGCGATCCAAGTTATTGAATCGCTTGATGACGTGCACACGGGACATCTTGCGGACGCAACAAGGGCTCAGTGAACAGGACAACTACCACGAGTTCTGTAAATTACTGGGTCGCATCAAGGCTAATTTCAACCTCCAGGATTTGGTAAGTGCATGCGACTACACTGATTCACATTGCCCGTCAGCAAATTTCTGCTGTTTGTCTGCAGGACTTGTTGTCAGGAAGCAAAGTTGGTGGAAATCGATTGTGTGTGACGATTGCTCCATATCAGAGGATGGCCATTCTAGGATGAAGCTTGACACCTTTTCTTAGTGATTGATCTTCCTGTTCATTACAAAAATGCCACTGAGCGTTGGCGTTGCCTGAGCATTTGACTATTTGGGGGAGCCCAAGGGGATGGAGGAATCCATGTCCCTTGGGAAATAGTGAAATGGGGCAAATGTGTGGGAGTGTACTTTTGTGCACCAAAGGAGATTGTCTTTTTGACAGAAAGGGCACATATTGTGCATGCAAGTGGCTCCCTACGTGGACCACAAATGTGAACCAAGGATCATTTCTACCCTCCGAGTGATCAAAGAAAACCCATGTCGAATTAAAATAACATGCAACAGGAAGTACTTTGGATTTTGATTTATAGCACTTGTCATATTTCTGTGCTTCAGTCTAGGTCTGCCTACTTCATAAATATTGCCTTTCTGCAGGCGTCAGTGTGGAGTGTCAAGCTGATTGTCTAACTTGTTACGCCCTGTCTCAAGACCTCTGCACATGTCGAATTAGAATAACAGGCAACAGGAAGTACTTTGGATTTTGATTTATAGCACTTGTCATATTTCTGTGCTTCAGTCTAGGTCTGCCTACTTCATAAATATTGCCTTTCTGCAGGCGTCAGTGTGTAATGTCAAGCTGATAGTCTAACTTGTTACGCCCTGTCTCAAGACCTCTGCACACAAACGAAATTTTGACAGCACTTGTGTGATTCGTTGCCTCTTGCCATGGAACAGGTTAATGTTGAGAACTATGCCGAGTGGATCGAGCTTGTTGCAAATTTCACCATGCAGTCTTTAAACTCGTGGCAATGGGCGGCAAGCAGCATGTACTACCTGCTGGCACTGTGGTCAAGGCTGGTGACATCGATGCCATACCTGAAGGGGGATTCTCCATCGCTGATGGAAGCTAATGTTCCCAAAATAGTGCATGCATACTTGACATCAAGGTGGGTTCTTGTATGGAAACCTGGGACTCGTCCTTGCATCAAGAGGCAACCATGTCGCACAATGGGCGTGCCCACCTGAGGCAAGGGGTGCGAGACTCTTGCCTCTGCCTGGGAAGCTGTTGTGGAACCTCAGAATGCAATAGGGAATTGTCCAAAACGAGAAAGCCACCCAGAGCAAAAAGACATGTGCTCAGGGGTTGACACTGTTCTGTCTGAGAGCTCCTCTGGGCTTACGCTGTTCCAAGTGCAGTTGTGGTTTATCGCCACGGCCTTTCTTGCTGCTTGTAATCGGAAGTTTGATGGAAGCTTGATGGAATCAAGATTCATAGGTGCATGGAAACAAGGGCTAGTCCTTTTTGTCTTTTGGGTTGGTTTCTTGGTCATGTGCTGACAAGTGTAGGTACAAATGTTGTGTTAGTAAATTCACTTACCAGCATTTATTCAGTGGCGCAGATGAATTGCAGCATCTGCGGTTTGTTGGCAGTTTACTATCTTTGCAGTGACAGTGGTGTGGTGCAATGTATTGTCAAAGACTGGTTGCATTGGCAAGCAGGCACCCAATGCAGGCAGTACTTCATACTTGAATGCTGGCTGTTCACGCTTAGGCTGGCAAATGACGGAGACAGGGTGCTGGCATTCCATTAGTCATCTTGTGTGTGCCGCACCTGCTATGACCATTTTTCCGCAGAATGGATACACTTCAAACCGCTGTTGTCAGATTGGCCATTAAATTACTGTTGAGTATGAGATTTCATATTTTGTTGAGGATGGCATATTGTTAATCACATGTTTTAATGTGTATTGTATGCTTGTATGCAGCACTGTAGTCACAGAGGATAGTGCGGACGACGTTGAACAGCGTGGGGGCCCTTAGATAACACCCCTTGCATTACCAAACACGCCCACTGCTGCAAAGGGCAGGGGGCATGTTTGATAGCGTGGGGGATATGCAGCTCCCATGATGGAGCAACCTCGTTTACCATCAAAAGATGCTGCGACGCAGTGCGCGAAGTTGCTGAAATGTTATGGTGTCTTCTCCCATTTTTACAGTGAGTGGTGTCCTATATAAACTGGCATTTTATGTGTCAAATTGATCTGGTGGTCAATGTGGCAATGTGGGGGCATTAATGATTGATCGACATGATGCGGAACGCGAGGGGCATGTAAGATAGCACAGGATCATGCAAGATAGTGCCCCCTGTGTTCCTGACACCAGCCCTGACGCTCAACACGGGGGAGTGCTATCCTCCATGAACAATGGTACATGCAGTGTGGCAGCGCTGTTTCAGCTGCCATGGAACAAAAGTCCTATCAGTAGCCAATGTGCAAGCTTGCATCGACAGCTGGTGGTAGGATGGCACTGTTGTATCGTCAATTTGACAAGTCCTCCAGAGATTCGAGCTGCAATGACAGCATTTTTGGGAGCTACGGCTTGTAGATGGCATTGCCCATCATCGTATTGTATCGCTGCAAGGCCGTGCACTCTTCACAAAGGAATTGTATCTTTTTGCATTTCATTTTAATTTCTTTTCTGTTTTTACAGTCAAGGCATAATCGTGTGGCGGCAGACTCATCCATACAGGGTGTCCAATGCCTTTATTTTGTGCTGTGTGGAATCAGGCTGGATTGCGTGCGTGCAGTGCTGCAAAATGGCATAACGGAGGATCCCCTGGACAATGAGGGCGAACTGCAAGACCAGTTGGAGTCGCTCCCCCACCTGTTTCGATTCCAGTACGACAAGACATGTGTGCTGGTGTGCAGCTTGCTGGATCCTATCGCGAAAGGATTTCAGGACTGGTCCACTGGCCAACCACCAGGTGAACTGAATGGAATGCGGTGCTCCTGGATCACATTTGCACAGTGGCAGAACAGCTCCCTTGGCTTAGGAGTGCATTGGCAGGCACCCATAAATCCAAAACGTTCCCCATGTATTCGCATTTTCGTCTGCCATACTTGGTGTGGGGAGAGTGCAAATGGCAGCCAAAGAGAGAAAAGGGTGAAGCTTGAAATGTGCTGTATAAATGGTTCGCGTGAGATCATTGGTTCTGTCCAATTGGCTATGAAATCAGCGCTGGTAACAACTCTTCCAGGCAATGCACCTTCATCGATATAGCTGCTGCCACGCAGCCCACACAGGCTATTAAGGCCTCTGCATGTGCCCTGGCAGGTAGCTTCGCGACAGCAACCTGGATGTGCCAGCCTGCGGCAGTGTTGAGTGTTGAGCATCACTAGCAATGGCTGAGCACACAATTGCCAGGTCTTGTAGACAGCTTTGCGACCCAAAATGAGACTGAAATGACTCATGCGTGCTACTCTCTATTGCCACTGATCTCATCGTTTGTTGAGACATGTACATCGCAGCTCTGAAACAGAACCTGTCAGTTCTCATCGGAGGAAGGGTTCCCAATTTCATTAATGATGTACTTCATGCTCTGAATGGCAACTTTTGATGTAGGCCAAGATGCACGGCAGCTTTCTGTCCTCGAGGGCCAGCTCACATGGCTGGTGTACATAATTGGGGCAGTCCTGCGAGGCCGACTGAGCACAAGCAGCAGTGAAACGATGGTGGGTGACTTGAAGTTTCATTGTCAATGCAGTACAGGTTGGGAAAGCTACTGGCACTGTGTATGCACGGGGGTCGGGGTGGTAAGCGTGCGCCATTTTTGAGTTGGTATTGATGATGGCTCTGAAAGGGTGTGGGTGAAACACAGGCAATACCTTGATGGTGGTGATTGTGATAACGACTGTCAATGGCAGGCAAATCCCTCCATCGATGTTGATACTGTAAACTGCAACTTTGGCTTTGCCTCCTTCTGCTGGTGAGCCATAAAGGAAGTTCTTGCAACAAGACAACGTGGAATGTTTAGATTGCTGTATGCACACAAGTGCAACTGGCTGTTATAGGTTGCACTTTGGGAAGCAAGCTAATGTGGAGATCCTCAGATTGGTCCGAGTTCTATGACATGTGCAGCCTGCCAGGCATACAGACCCTCTATTGAGGACAGCAATTCTCAGCCTTCCTTTGGCGGGGTTATGAAAAAATTCATATTTTGTTTGTGCTCATTATTGCACTGTCGTATACTTAGTAGCCAGAGTGGCTTGATACCAAAGGGCTATTGCCTTGTAGGTGGAAACTGTGGTGCATCAGATTGTTTGAGAACTGCAACGATTTTGAACATTTGCCTGGCACCGGCATTGTGGTTGATCATGGTGGGGGTTTTGTTGCTCCAATGCAGGAATCTCTTGATGGCGATTTGTCGGCAAGGGTGTTCAGCCTGTTGGGAGTGATGGAGACTGGTCTGCATCAGCAGAGGTACAGGGAGACGTCGAGGCAGCGGTTAGACCTTGCCATATTGTCCTTCTTTCAAAGTTTCCGAAGGGTGTATATTGGAGAGACAGTCATGCATTCATCCAAGGTAAATGAGGGTGCACACTGATGGCATGTCCCTCAGGCAACTACAGTATGCCAGCTTCATGAGGACCTTTGGACGTGCGAATGTCACCAAGTTGTCCATTATGTTGATCCCCAAATTAATGCAGCAACCACTATGAACATGGGTCTGGGGCATAGAAGTTGTTGGTGCCATGTGCATAGTATCAGTCTGTGTTAATATGCATAAGCGCACAACGTGCTACTAATGTCCAAATGCTGAATCAAGCATTCTGGGCAGCTGACTGCAGCATGTTTGCCCAGACCAATGCATCATCGCATTTGTTTGACTTGGCAACTTTCTACGTGTGTTGCTTCTGAGCAAGTATTCGTTCTGCGACTCCGAAACGTTGCTGTGCATGCCAAATGAAATTGACAGCTAGCAACAAACAAACACCAGAGCAAATGCTGACACGGGGACCAGCAGAATCGCTGCCCATGCAGCTGCCATTGCCCTTCCATGCTGATACAGATGTGTGGGAACAACCCAAGCTAACAGTGGCATTGCACAATCACAGGATGGTGTGCACTGCCTTTGTTTAAACCACCGAGACATAGAAAGACGTGAGCGACCCCCACAAACGAGTAGTTCCTGAAATGAACCCCTCTACTCCTGTTTCTGCGTGCAACATATGCTACCTTGCAACAGCAATTGCTTGGATGGTATGCACATAAAGATCATGGACAGTTGAGTTGATTGCTTTAATGTCTGCTTTCTTTCAGATGTGTATGTATGTGTGTCTTTAACTTCAAAATGCTACATGGCATTCAGGAGTCTAGATGCTGCCCTTGTCCAAACACAAGAGATGTAGGCCATGTGCCACATCACATGAAGTGCTGAAGGTGTTGTTGCTTGCATGAAAGGGCATACTAGCAGTGCAGCACTGTTCACATCAGAGTCAAGCAAAAGGTCGCCAGTGCGTCAAACAACAAATCATTGTTGGATATCATGTGCCATACTCACATAGGTGGAAGGGCAGTGGACCACCACATTGTGATCAATGCACTCAGTGCAAATTTCGTTGCATTCGTATTCGTTTCTTGTTGTAGGCATTGTAGCTCTCCATGCTGTATTGAAAGTGCTGCTACGGTAGCATGCTGCACAACTGAACAATCATGGAGAGTGTTTCCTGGGTAGCCTTTTTCCACAGGTTGTTTCCTGTTTTCTGTTGTTTCATTGTTGGTTTTCATCATTAGTACATTCTGTTTCTATTTTTATCAATACTGATGTTTGAATCGAGGTGCATGTATTGCCCCTGCAGGTTTACGCCCGGCTGGGTGAGAGACTCCCAGGCATACGAGACCACCTCACAGTTCTGAACATCATAGTGAAAACCATCACAAACAACTTGCGGGCATATGGTGACTGCGACGGGCTCATAGACGCCTCCCTCAGCCTGTTCCAGGTGAGCCCTGCATGCGCCAGCTGTCTGTTAGACCTTCAACCACTTTGCTGGAAATGGTTGGCACTGTGGTAGTCTGGCTTCCGGGCTTTGGGATACACCAAGTACTAAAGAGTGAACGACGTTCAGTTAAAGCACTGCAGCTGTATTTGCACGACATCTGAGCCTGTATGGCTGACATTGGGTATTGAATGCAAAGATACACACAATATATGTGTATTGTGTAGGTCCTGCAGTTGTACATCGGCTTTGTTGGTCTCTTGTGCTTATAATGTGTTAGATGTTAACCGCATCAGATATACTTATGGGCTTGTCTTTTTCCTTTTTTGGGGGGGAGAGGATTTGCTAAAATTGTCGCCCATAGATTTTCACGTTGCTCGTGATGTGTTGCAGAATATTGCTGTCATTCCATACGTTATTCAACAACCATCTGCTGTGTTCGTTTTCCAAAAGGGGTTAGTGTGGTTCAATGCAACAATGGTGTATCCTTTGTGTCATTCTTGATCATGAACCAATGACCTCAGGGAAGGAGTTGAGAAGGTGATGGTGACGACATGCAGGACTTGGGCAGTGGCTATATGAGTGGAAAGCTGCTGATGAAGCTGGAGACAGTGAACACCCTGCTGCAGCATCACAGTTCCGACCGCTTCGACTTCCTGAGGCAGCCCACCAGCTTTCGCAGCCGCACGATCTTCTACAACACCCTGACAAAGTTGTTGTTCATGGAAGACACACCCACAAAGTTTAAGACATTTGTTGCACCAATGCAGCAGGTGCGTAGTGGACCATAGAAGTCCACAATAAACACCAACACATTCCAATAAACTCATTCAATTTTTTGGCTTGAGAATGCGATGCAGGCCAAGAGGAATTGGAATGATTGGTCCTGTTGGGGGCAAAAAGATGCCCAAGCAAGTGATGCTGAAAATTGCGCTGGGCTGTTGTGTTTTGGATTTGTGTGCAGCTTCTCCTGGCTCACACCCGGTGTGCAAGGGCTCATGAAGTTGAACCGCTATTCAAATCGGGCAAGTAGTGAGTGTTGAAACAATGCACACTTCCTGGTCATAAAGAGTGCTTGGTATGTGTTCACAAGGCAGTCTTTTGGCCATCATGCATTTTGCTTAACAGTGGGCATTCTGTTGACAGCTCTGATTTGGATTTGGAGTTGTTTGCAGCGCACGCGTCTGCAAGGATGCTAACCACTTTGAGTGGGCTGCTGGGCTACAAATACCGGCACTGACATGCTCGGTGCTACTGCATTACTAAGTGGCACCGTACAAACAGGGTTTAACTGGGCATGGGTGTGTGGGCAATGATGCAGCTTGTTTCCGGCCTGTTGGACCTGCAAGTGCCTCCTGTCCCCTGAGCTGTCAGTGATGGTACATGACCTGTTGCAGTTTGCGAATGTCACGCCTGATGGCAAGTCTGTTGTCACAGGTGTTGGTTGGTCTTCACACTGCAAGTCAGAGTGCAACGAGCGCCCAAGCTGTCAGGCAGTCTGTGCCCAAAGAGACAGTGATGGGTCTATTCAGGGACCTGCGGGGTGTGGTTTCTGCTGCTGGTAACCGTCGGTCATACGGTGAGGGCTTTATTTCTTTGTGAAAACTTGCCTCTAAGGGACAAAGCGAGACAGTCGATGACTGGCATGTGTGCATCCAAGATGGTTTTTGTACCTCATCGATTCATTTATCCGCTTGCCGCGGTCTGCACCTATTGCAGTCAGTAGCTGCAGGGAGAGAAAGAAGTGAGGGTCCCTGGTGCAGATCGAACTGCCACCTTTAGTGGGTTCATGTTTGTCAGCGGTTCCATCACCGTGCCCTTCAGCATGGATGGCAGTGAGCAAAAAGTGCACTGCTGCTCTCACATGCTTTGACGACACAGAAAGTACTTGCCCTGTCCCAAGGCTTGCAATCACCACTCCTGCACATGTTAGGGGACAACAGACATCACTCGCATCTGCAAACCGATCAACAATGGCAGAAGCAGGTGAAATCCTTTGTGTTCCTGCACAGGACTGATTTTCGACTGGCTGTACCCCACCCACTTCCCAGTGATCCTCACGTGCCTCGAGGCCTGGTCTGACTCACCTGAAGTGACCACCCCACTGCTGAAGTTCATGGCCGAGTTCGTGCAGAACAAGACCCAGCGCCTGTCCTTCGACCTGTCCTCCCCCAACGGCATCCTCCTTTTCCGGGAGGTCTCCAAAGTGCTGGTCACGCATGGGTCCGCAGTGCTGCAAAGGGGGAATGTGCCCGACATCTACCAACACAAGTACAAGGGCATTTGGATATGCTTGCAGATCCTTACCCGCGCGCTGGCTGGCAACTATGTCAACTTTGGTGTTTTTGGACTCTATGGTGACCCTGCCCTCGAGGTAGGTGAATCTGCGCGATGCGTCAGTGTCGAATCGTTGTAGATGCATCAGATACTTTAATCAGATACTTTTAGGTTTTGCCGATGAAGGATGAAGTGCTGCACTCACACCAAAAAGGCAGTGACTGGCACGATGCTCCGATTTATTTCCCATAATTCCCCGCAATCACAATTCTTGAAAGTTCACCTATTCCAGTGATTCCATCGGTACTGTTGACTGTTCTTTGATTGTTTGATTCTTTGGTTGGATTCATCCCCGATGTGCCCGTAGGATGCCCTCAAGATATCACTGAAGATGGCCCTGTCAATCCCCCTGAATGACATCATCGCCTACAAGAAGCTGGCCAGGGCCTTCTACTCCCTTGTGGACGTGCTGTGTGAGCACCACACGTCTGTGATCGCCGCCTGCCAGCAGTCCACCTTCGCCTTCATAATGACCTCCCTAGAGACGGGGCTCAAAGCCCTGGACGTCACCATCTCCTCGCAGTGTGCTGCAGCGCTTAACCACCTTGCAGCATACTATTTTCGGCATGTGGTGGCTGCCGTCGATGTGAACTCGCCTCCTCCAGCCGCCCAAGCTCTGGCAGAGCACATCAGACAAACCCCAGACATGTTTCCCTCGATGCTGAAGACACTTTTTGAGATCGTCCTGTTTGTAAGTGAATGCGCTTTGCTCTTTCATTCCACAGATTGCATGTCGTTTAGGAGCCCAGGTGCCGCGCCTGTGCCAGCAGAAGAGGCGTATGCCATGTGCCATTAACAGAACAGGGCAAGGGTTGGCTTTTAGGTTCGTTCGTTCTTCTACAGTTCCAGATTATTGCACCACACTTGAAGGCACTATCAGGTTGTGGCTGTCACTTTCGCCTTCATCCATTGTTGCCATGCTGTGGCTTCGTGCCACAGCAGGGGCTCTGCTGATGGGTAACTTCTCTTGCGGTGCATCCCGAGACCCTAGGCATCAAACAACTGCACTGGCAGGTTCATGCAGCTCTTCAGCATTTTCGTGCAGGAATAAGAATCACCGCATCACAGTTTTCCTGTGGATGGCCAATCTTATTGCTAGCTCTCAACAGCAGTGAACTGCAGGCACAATGTGTCATTTGCTGGTGCAGATTGGCCCTTCCATTGTTGAGGTACATATTCAATTTTTGCAAACCTCATCAGCTGTATGCCCCCCCACCCCACCCTTCCACCCCAACCCTCACTACCAATGGGCTGTCGAACTTGTGCACAAATGCCTGCATGCATGTTCAGTTGGAACACACAGAGCAGCACGTCAAGAAGCGAAAAGCGCCTGCAGCATGTGTCCATGATGGCTTGAGAACATGTTTGTAAGAGACAGAGCACAAGCTCATGGCAGCTAGCTTGTTCTGTCCTGAGATATGTCCAGTTATCTAACAGAGCTGTGCATTCAGCTGAAGATGGGCCATGCACGAATGCTCCCTGTGCTGGAGCGGCTTCCCTGAGTCTGCACATAGCCGTCACTCGCATAGGGATTTGTTCACTCACTTGTCCTTGTTCAATTATGTGTTCCTTGAAGCGTATTGCTTGCAGAATGCTCTAATTCTTGAAAGTGTTGAATAGGCACTACTTGTGATATTGGCATATAATGAAATGAACTCATTTTGATCAAATGATAATTCGACTTCTCCTTATTAGAGTTCTGTTCAAATGTTCTCTACCTTTTGCCACTGACCTGGTGTGTTGTCTCATGCATGCCAGGAGGAATGCACCAATATGTGGAGCCTCAGTCGGCCGATGCTCAGCTTGATCCTCATCAACGAAGAAGTCTTCACTCAGTTGAAGTCTCAGTTCGTGTCTATGCAGCCAACCGAGAAGCAGCAGCACACCTCTGCATGGTTGGAGAAGCTCATGCAGGACGTCCAACGCAATCTGGACCCGAAGAACAGGGACAAGTTCACCCAGGTACAAACACACCACCTTCCTTGTTAATTATGAGCAGACATCTAGTAGGAAACAAGTGTTTTGGACTGTGCGTGCCATTCGTGCCTTCAATGTGCGTGGGCACTTGCCAAAAAAGGCAAGGCTTCCTGTCTTCTTGCTTTCCCTTCTGCCACCGTTTTCGATCCTTGACTGTTCTCATGGGAGGCGTTGGCGCTCTGGGGGGCCAGACCAACAGCTTGTGCACTGATGCAGTCTTCGCTGCCCCTTGCACCACAATCTGAGCAGCCTCAGCCAGATATGTCACGGCCATTTGGATTGATCCACGCAGTCAGTGACACCCAGTTTGCCTGGTTCTGATGTTGGCTGGGGAAATGCCAATGCGCATGGTTTACATGCTTGCGGGTGCTTTTGCATAACGAGCATTGGGGTGGAAAGAATGTAGAGGAGCGACATACACTGCTTTTTAAGTGACCAAGAACTGTTATTGGTGCTGTACTGTGACTTCTCGCTTACGAGCTTGAGTACATCATCTACAGTGCTATTTGAGTTTGAGACGTCCGCATTAGACGCATCTGTGAAAAGGCGAATGTATGTGCTGCTGCGTGTGTGGCTTTTCAGCATATGTAGATGCATACACGCCTTGGGTGTACGTGGGCCACCCTTGATGAATGGTACAACGCTCATCGCCTTAAGGCGGAGATTGGAGTGAGGTGGGAAAGAAACCCACAGGCGGGCATCCACACTCACTGGACAACCAACGGCTGATGGGCGACAAAGGCTTCATTCAAGCGATGGGCTTGCACATCGCGGACGCATAACGAATCGTATGAGCATGCACATCGCGGACGCATAACGAATCGTATGAGCATGGGAAGGAGTCGCACATATGAGCCCACTGGCTGCTTGTACAGTCAGTAGTCTTCTTATAGAGTAGTGTGTGAGAACGGCACAAGTGCTACAGCTGCTGCTCGCTGACTCGACTGTTTGCGGCCCTGCAGAATCTCACCATCGTCAGGCATGAATTCAAAGCCAAAGGCTGAAGGGACAAGGGACTCCAGAGGACCGATTCGAACGTGCTGGGATTCTCTATTGGCTGCTATGGTATTGGGATTGATGGGGTCGGTTGACAGTCTCGATGGGCGACTTGAGCAGGGGCCGACCGCCGGGTGTGTGTTTGTAGACGAGCGCCCATCGTGAAATAAATGTTTTCCTGCACATGTCAACAGGCAGGACTACTTGAGGATCGCAAATCATCCCTAGGTGCCGTTAGATTTTGATTTAATTCAATTTAGCACAGCAGCAGGATTCCAGAAAATGTAACACAAAGGGTAGTAGCATTGGGGGCTGACCACGGCCGCAAGATCAGCTGTCATTAAGTTGCAGTCTGGCGGACCGAGAAACTTGCTGCCCGCAAGTCGTGTTCTCGTAATGCCTTTTGGCCCTGTGAGGAAATCAGGCAACATTGCGGAACTCTCGGTTGGTTGTGGCCTGGTGAGCTGCACGTCACAATGGTGACCCTTGTGAAGACGACATGTTCGAAGAATGCCGACTCGCAATTGGAAGTCAACCTTCAGAGACTCTCCGAAATCTCCACAGTCGTAAGCCTGTGTGTGCACTATGGAGAGGTCTGGGCGTAAGCACACAGGCCAAGTAAATCCGAGTGTACCCAATGTACGTGGAACCTGAACGTTATCCTGCATGCAAGGTTCATTCATGTGAATGCCTGTTTTCATGCTGTACGGGTCGCCAATATATGGGGCTCATCAGAAATTAGGGTGGGTTAATGATATCAGTCAGCTGGCGGCCCGTGAGGTCCAGAAATGGTGCAGAGGGGAAGTCGAAAACCTCAGTACCTTCATCACGCTGATCATCATCCAGCAGGTTGGCGCTCAACAGGGCAATGACCCCAAAACATCAACCAGGGTTCCTCCGGAAATTTCTAGCAATCCAAGCCCAAGGCACTCAGAATGCAAGGAGATGACTTCAGTGACAGAGAGACCACGGCAGCCCCACTATACGCCTAAAGAACTCAAAGCAATGGAGTTGTGATGCCAGACACAGCTCCAGTACGTGGCAGCGCCTCACACGGGCACACCGATGTCAGACACGTTTGGAAAACACCGTGAAGTACAGAGAAGCACGCAGGTCGCTGTTGGGCACGTGCGCTTGCTTTGGCAAGGGATGCAGCCGTGCGTGACCGGCCGCGTTGGACGCAGAAAGTCTTGGCGAGTCGGGCTGCGTTGGTTTTTCTGAGCAATGCCCGTTGATCGAGCCGGGACGGCCGTGGCTGGCCATGGTGCCGCCGATGGGGGATGGCAGCCACACGGCCGAATCGCCGATTAAGACCAATCGAGGCGGAAATTGCCAGGGGGATTTCTTGCGAATATGCAGGCCTTTCAACCTGCGTGGTCAGCTGTGTGGCGTAGCGTCGTGAGTTCGAGTGAGCGCGGGCGCCGTGAATGCGCGGAACGGGAGGTCGCAGGGCTGGAGCGGTTTCGGGGAGGATGCGAGAGGGATCCAAATGTGCTGCAGCTGGATTTGCCATCCTGGCATGGTGCTGGAGAATTCTGGCGTCCTGTGGCATGCAAGCTGCTCAGGATTGTGCCCCCAGCTCAGAGCAAGATGGTTTGTCACGGAAGGCTGGGTGCCATCAGTTGGAAGAATTGTCTTGTGAAAATTGATTCAATTCTGGATTTAGATTTGAGCGGATCAATCAGTTGCAAGTCAGACTTGCAACATGTTGTTGCTATTCGGTCGCGGCCTGTCTGGGCCGTTTTTTCAAGCCGTTTCCTTGCCTTTCAAGACCAACACCTCCAGTGTGGTCTAGCTGCCAGCCAGAACTTGCCAAGTCTGGTCGCCGCGCAGCCTTGCCGAGGCGGAGAGAAGCCTTTTCCGTGTCATGCACCGACGTGCCGTGGATAAGGCAACCCTGACCCGTGGACCTGACCGGCGTTTTTACTTTGTCAACCGTCGAGGAGCAGCCGCGACTGGTTATGGTGCTCTGAGGGGCAGCTGTGAGAGTTTCAACAAGCGCATTTGCATGGTTGGCTGGCAGTGGACGTTTGCTACCCGTTTGAAGCTTCCCCTTGCTGTCGCTGCTATTGTTGTGGGTCGTCGTCGTCGTGACAAGCAGTTCTTCGTGAAGAGCCAGTTCGTGAGAGGGGCAAAAGTTTGGTCGTTCAGTGAACCCTCAACTGACGTGGTGCTGAGGCTGTCGACATGGGTCAGCTGCCTGTTTGAGCGTGATTTTACTATCCTATCTCCGGGGATAACGGCCAGTATGGACCGCCGCCCTTCGCAATGCAAATTTCCCATCTACGTGTATGTCCTCGTCGGGGCAGACAGCCAAGAAGGTCCCCAAAGAACCAGAGCACACTCTCGTCAGATGATCTACAGTTCTCCACGCTGTGTGTGCCTTAAGGCCGAACATCTCCTAGTTTACCATCTCCCTGACCATCCCTGGGGAACTGTCACTAGCATGAAGCATATGAACACACAGGGAGATACTCTTAACCCTGCCTTTGCCTTTCTGACCCTCGTCCCGCATTCTCATTTCTGAGGTTACCTAGCCCGGCTAATCTCCAGAGTGTTTTCTCTTCCTTTTCTTTTTTCCATTTCAGCAACGATGCCTTAATCTGGCCATACCGCGCAGCGCATTAAGCCGTCAAGGCAGGCGATTCTGGCCGTCGGCGAACTGCAAAAAAAACGTGAATACTAAATTTGTATTGCTCCTTTCGCTTGCATAAGAATTTGTATAAAATCTGCATATGTCGGCTTTACAAAAGTCTGCAGGCACAAATGCACTAGCAGGCTTTTTCAACGAGTTTTCCGCGTTAGCCCGCCATTGTACGATAATGGAACCGGCGCACGCCAACGTTGACTGTATGCAGCGAATCGATGCCCAAGAGCCAAGCATCCTGCTCCGAATCGACATGGATCGTGTATTACCACGATCGCTCAGCGCGCATGCCCTTGGATACTTTCATATGTCCAATCAGCACCATTACGGCGCCACCGCCAGCAGCGCACCACTTTGCGCAGCGGTCCCCTTCTTGGTGCGTTGTACCACGCAATGCGACCGCGAATCAGAGCGTTATGCGCCCCTACGGCGCAGAGTCGTATGTGGCCGTGCGCCGAACTTATCACAGGTCGCACGGCGCCTTTTTCAACGCGTTTTGGCGGCCATACCATTCACGGAACCGCACAGCCTGTTGGGCCAAATGCTCAGCCGCCGCTTTGGATCCCACCACAGCAGGCGGGAAGAAAAACCCCTAGACACAGGGAGATGCGTGCTGCGTGCCGCGAGGCGCCATGCCAGATCAGGAAACACAATTCGGACCAAAAAGTTGGGCTCTGAGGCCTTACAAGGCAAACATGCTAGCACAGATGCTGCCCAGAGCAATTCCCCCACGGCGCGGCCAATCGCCTCACACGGCACCCATCACAGCACTACGAAACCCTAAACACGGACGAATGGGAGGCTGGCAATCCCACCCCCACGCACAACTGTTTTTGCAAGACGGAAGGAGTCACTCGACCCTCCAAAAGGTCACATGTTACCCGCTCAAAAGGAACAGGACCCTTTCGATCACAGACACGCTGCAGCCGCACACCAATTGTGCAATGCATACTCAGATCGCACGCAGTGAAATTGACACTAATGCAAAAGACTCTTGTCAACCCCATGGATGAACCCTCCCCATACTCTACTGCACCCAGTAAATAGTAACCAAGATTTGGACCATAGAAATTTGTACCATATCTCATTGTATCAGTGACCTCCAAATGACAACTTGGCTTCCTGACTTCTACTTATTGACTCAAAAAATTGAAACAAACAAACCAGCCATCAAGGAAAACGTGAAACGATCAATGTTTTATGTCGTGTTCATACAAATATCCTACAAAGTTCCACAACTCCTGAGTCATTAGCTATTGCTGTCAGGAGTCCTGACAGAAATTACAACTATTTGCAGGGCATTGTAGGACACATGTCGACATTATTTATTCCCAGAAAACGACTCCCTTCAAATCATGTAATGTCCAATGGCATGTCGCCCTCTTACTGGTAAAATCCTTTCTCCTCGTTTCATAATAATATTTCATCTCACCTACCATCCATCCCAATCAATGTCACTTGTCATCACATAAATCTTCCCAATTACCTTCTATCACCATGAAGTCGACAAATTTCACATTTACTGCTTATATTGTGTTTTCAAAATACTGCATGATTAGCCACCATACTATACGGCACACCCAGGGTCCTTGCTCATTGCCAGTCTCAAGGTACAAAGACACTCCCCCCTGCCCATGTACAGGGGCGAAAGTGGGTAAAATTTTGTGTACGTAAAAGCTGCGGGCCCCCTGGTGGGTCTTACAACACATGTTGCGGCTGCTCAACATGCAAAAAGTGGTTTTTAATGAGTTTTTATTGCCAATTTCTTCCAAATCAAGGTATGCTTGTCTGACGAAGCGTGTATCATTTTTGTCACTCTCTCCCACGCTCAGGAAAATTTCGTTATGTCTACTTGAACGTTTACGTGGCCAGGGGCCCCAAACTCTCCTTTTTTCGTGTTTTTCTGCAGTTTTCTTCTGCATGCATCCCAATAGGCTGCTCTATCCCTTTTCTCATTCCTTCCCTTTTCCTTCTATGCTCCAGGACAACATTTTTCTTTTATACAGCTCTCATACTCTTTTCAGGCAGGCTTGTAGGTCTAACATGCATCGCCAACCACATTAAATCAACTGTATTCCTATTTTGTGGTGACCTGTGGCCGTACTCCAAATAGAACTGCTTGGTAATTGTGATGTGGATCCACGTGCCATAGGGGTCGATAAAGTGCCCGCCTCCCTTGGAGTTACTGACATGACTCCCTCACCCAGTGGTACAGCATGTACGTCAGGACTTTTTACAGTCCTCTAAGTTCGGTGCAGGCATTTGTATTCCTGTGGGAGTGCAGTGCGTAACCACACATGTTGCCAGGACTCACTGAATGCACATGCTCGCTGCTGTGCATCCCATGCAGCAATAACCGTG